TCAGGGTGAAGCGGCCGCCGGGTTCTCCGCCTGTCTTCAAGGCGCGTTACGTGGCTCGAGGCTTCAGTCAGCGGCAAGGAGTTGACTACTTTCAGACCTTCTCTCCCACCCCGAAGATGACCACTCTTCGGGTGCTACTGCACATAGCCGCTCAGCGCGACTACGAGCTTCACTCTCTTGACTTCAGCACAGCTTTCTTGCAGGGCAGCCTGCACGAGGAGATCTGGCTGCGCCGCTCACCTGGCTTCACTGGGTCGTTTCCTCCTGGTACCCAGTGGAGCCTCCGGCGGCCAGTCTACGGTCTCCGCCAGGCGCCCCGTGAGTGGCACGACACACTGAGGACTACACTTGCGGCTCTTGGGTTTGCTCCTTCTACTGCCGACCCGTCGCTGTTTCTCCGCACCGACACCTCTTTGCCGCCGTTCTACATCCTCGTGTACGTCAACGACTTGGTCTTTGCCACACAAGACACTGCTGGACTCGCCCACGTGAAGTCCGAGCTGCAGAAGAGACACACGTGCACAGACCTGGGTGAACTACGTAGCTACCTTGGCTTGCAGATCACCCGGGACAAAGCACAGCGCACCATTACCCTGACTCAGTCACACATGGTGCAGCAGGTCCTTCAGCGCTTCGACTTCACGTACTCCTCGCCTAAGGCCACTCCTCTGTCTACTCGCCACTCGCTCTCAGCTCTGCCTTCGGATGAGTCCATAGAGCCGAGTGGCCCGTACCCAGAGCTTGTTGGCTGCCTCATGTACCTGATGACCTGCACACGACCTGACCTAGCATACCCTCTTAGCATCTTGGCACGCTATGTTGCTCCTGGGAGAAACCGACCAGAGCACATGGATGCAGCGAAGAGGGTGTTGCGCTACTTGTGCAGTACGTCGGGCATGGGGCTAGTGCTTGGAGGGCGACGTCGAGTGGTCCTCACAGGTCACGCAGACGCTTCTTGGGCTAACGACCAGGCTACGCAGCGGTCGTTGCAGGGTTACACCTTCAGCCTTGGCTCCGGCTCTGTTTCGTGGCGGTCTACCCGCTCGTCCTCTGTTCTTGGCTCCAGATGTGAGGCTGAGATCTACGCGGGAGCCATGGCTGCACAAGAGCTACGCTGGCTCACCTACTAGCTGACTAACCTAGGAGAGCCGCCTCGTTCTCCTCCAGTTCTGTACGTAGACAACAAGGCCATGCTGGCCTTGTGTCGGGAGCACAGACTGGAGCACAGAACGAAGCACATTGCTCTTCGCTACTTCCTTGCTCGTGAGCTACAGCACCACGGTGTGTTGCGCCTTGCTTACGTGGCCTCTGAGGCCAACACTGCTGATATCTTTACCAAGGCACTTCCGCCTTGTGATCATCAGCGCTTTTGTACTATGCTAGGTCTTGTGCCTACTTGGCCTCACTTGCTCACTTCTTGACTTTGCTTGTACTGTGATCTATATATACTTGCACTTGCATGCTTACCCTTGCTAGGTTGAGATCACTGCCTTGTTTGTTCATCTTGATAAATAACTCTCCATGTGAACTGGCCTTTTGGCCTTGTGCTTGTGCTCAGATTGTGTGGTGACGTTGTGATCCACCCTGAGCTTGCCTTGCTTCTCTTGACTGGTCTTGTGACCTCTTGTTCTCCCTCACCTTGCCTATGGGGGTGTGTCAAACTTATATACTATAGTCTGTATAGGCTGTAGTGGGGTAGCTCATATGGGGTACAACACATTAGGCTTCCTACTTGTACTCCTCATGCTGCTCAATGCAATCATTCCTTGTTCTTTGACACAGCACTTATAGGACATCGAAGCAGTTTTTAAAATACTGAGTGAGAACCGCCTACTGTCAAAAGCGTCTAAGTGTGAGTTTTTACAGGACCGCCTAGAATTTTTGGGACACGTTATTTCAGCTGCAGGAGTGGAAATAGACCCGAAGAAAATTGCGACGATTCAAGTATGGCACGCGCCGACCAACTTGACCGAGTTGCAGAGTTTTTTGGGGTTCGTTAACTACATGCGCCGGTTTGTCCCCGACATGGCAAAGCTGACTGCCCCGTTGACTGACCAGCTGAGGAAGGGGGTTGAGTACACGTGGGGGGAGAAAGAGCAAGCTGCCTTCTCGGCCCTCAAAAACATTTTGTGCTCACCGCCCGTGCTTCACATCGCAGATCCACACCGTCCGTTCGAGCTCGTCACTGACGCAAGTGACATCGCTGTGGTAGCAGTATTGTCGCAGGATTTCGGGAACGACCTCCAGCCAATCGCGTACGAGTCCCGCAAGCTGCACCCGCCCGAACGCAATTACCCGATACACGACCGCGAAATGTTGGCGATCGTGCACACGTTCAAGGTTTGGCGGTGTTACCTGACTGGCGCCGACGTGACAGTACGGACAGCCCACCGATCACTACAGTACTTACGCGCCCAACCGAAACTCAATCCACGACAGATTTGCTGGTTGGACTACCTCGAGTCCAACTTCCACTACAAGGTTACGTACAAGAAAGGCGCATCCCACATCGCCGACGCATTCACCCGCCCTACCGCCCAACTCCACGCCATCCTACTCCCCCAAACCAACCCGTTTCTAACAGGCCTATTCACCCACGGATACCGCACCGACCCGTTTTTCACGGCCGGAAATTCCTAGCAACTTGCAGAAGCTAAAGGAGTTTATTACGTAAAAACAGGAACCAACTGCATCTCAGTACCCGCGTACTCACTACTGAGGGAGCTGCTACTGCAGGAGGCACAGGACGGAATTACCTCGGGACGTTTTGGGGTAGAAAAAACGTGACAGCAACTGCAGCGGTATTACTACTGGCCGGAGCTGTTGACCGACGTGCAGCAGCACGTGGGCTCGTGCCCCACATTTCAGGTGATGAAGAGCTCGAGGAAGCGGAAGGCGGGTCAATTGCAGCCGATACCACCGCCCAAGCGCGCCTGGCAGCAGGTTACCATGGACTTTGTCACAGGGTTACCTTCGAACCCTGGGGGTAATGACGTGGTGATGGTCGTCGTTGACAGGTTGACGAAGATGGCACACTTCGGTGCGTGCAAAAAGTCGATCTTAGCCAAGGAGACCGCTCGTCTATCCGTCAGATTTATATGACATAGCTGTTGTAGGCTATAGTGGGGTAGCACATATGGGGTACAGCTTTTCTAGGGTTTGTACTTGTACCCAACTTCCACTTAGTCATTCTCATTCTCGTTTCAGTTTTCTCATGGTATCGAGCAGGTTCCCTCGTGGGAACTGTTCCTAGGGCCCACCGATTCGATTTTTTTTTTCCTACCCGGAGCGCGCTCAGCCCTTGCCCGAGTCGCGCTCCCCTTTCTCGACCGTGTCGCGCCACCCTTGCGGCCCCGATCCGCTGCCCTAGCGACCCGTCGCCTACCTCTGCGGCCCCGGCGCCGCCCTTGTCGGCCCCAACCCGTCGCCCTAGCGGCCCCGCCGCCTACCCCGCGGCCCTCGCGCCGCCCTTCCTGGCCCCGATCCGCCGCCCTCCGACCCCGGCGCCTACCCCACGGCCCTCGCGCCGCCCTTTCTGGCCCCGATTCGCCGCCCTGCGGCCCCATCGCCTACCCCACGGCCCCTTCCGCCGCCCTACGGCCTGTCGCCTATAGCGCGGCCCTGACGCCGCCCTTCCCAGCCCGGCCCCGCCCTTGCTGGCGCCTACCTGCGGCCCCGGCGCCTACGTGCTGCCCCGTCGCCTACCTGTGGCCCTGGCGCCTTCCTACGGCCCCGGCGCCTACCTGCAGCCCCGTCGCCTACCTGCGGCCCCGGCACCTACCTGCGACCCCGGCACCTACCTGCGGCCTCGGCGCTGCCCTTCCCGGCCCCGTCGCCTACCTGTGCGGCCCCGGCGCCGCCTCTGCCGGCCCCGCTACCGTCCCCACGCGGCCCCGCCGTCACCACTGAGGCGCCGACGCCGTCGCCTGCAGCCGCGCCGCTCGCCACCTGAGCTGCCCGAGCCGCCGCACCACGACGAGCCGCCCGAGCCGCCAAGCCGCCCTGCAGCCGAGCCGCCGAGCCGCCCTGCAGCCGAGCCGCCGAGCCGCCCAGCAGCCAAGCAGCCGAGCCGCCGAGCAGCCGAGCCGCCCACGCCTCCGAGCCGCCCTATCTTGTAAGAGCAGCGCTTCTATCACTGCACTGCCCTTACCCTACTGTTCGCGCTGCTAGTCTACTGCTGTCATGGCTACCGCTAGTGTCCTCACTTTTGACGCTGAGGGTATGGCCATTGACTTTGACATCTGGGTAGATGACCTGCAGCTTTTCTTACAGTGCGATAGGGCTGACGGCCTCTCCCTCTTTGACCTCACTTCGGGTGCCTCTCCTGCCCCCGCTGCTGATGCTGACGCCACTGTTCGCTCACAGTGGGCCACACGCGATGCTGCTGCACGTCTTGCTGTGCATCGCCACCTGTCTACCTCTGAGCGTGCACACTTTAGCCAGTACAAGAGTGCTCAGACCTTGTACGATGCTGTAGTTGCACGCTACTCCTCCCCTGCCACTGCTGCACTGAGCCGCCTCATGCTACCGTACCTCTTCCCTGACCTTGCTGCCTTTCCCATAGTCGCTGACCTCATTACACACCTCCGCACTAGTGACACTCTCTACCGCGCTGCGCTTCCTGCTGAGTTCTGCGCCAAGAACCCCCCCCCCCATGTACATCACCCTTTACTACATAGTCACTCGGCTCCCTGACTCCCTTCGCGTAGTCAGGGACCACTTCCTCTCAGTTTGCCCCACCACTCTCACCGTTGACCTCCTAGAGAAGGCCCTCCTAGCAACAGAGAAGAGCATAGTCGCTGTAGGAGCCTCTCGTGGTGACCCTCGCACCCCCATCTTTGAGGGGTGTTCCCCCTCCCCCCTTTTGCCCTCTGTTGCCTCTGCTGCTTCGGCCGACCTCGTTGGTCTGGAGTCGGTCGGTGCGGCGTCTACCCCTAGCGGGAAGCGCCGCCCTGGCAAGGGCAAGGGGGGCAGGGGCGCTGGAGGAGATTCTGGGGACGATGGAGGCGGCGGTGGAGGCGGCGGAGGGAGTGGGGGTGGCGGTGGGAGTGGTGGCGGGGGTGGAGGTGTCGGTGGCGGCAGTGGAGGCGGAGGCGGAGGCGGCGGTGGCGGTGGTAGCGGAGGTGGCGGAGGTGGCGGCGGAGGAGGAGGCTGAGGCGGAGGAGGTGGAGCTGGTCGCGGTGGCGCTGCGCAGAGGGTCGGCTCCGGTGGTGGTCAGCGCCAGCAGCAGCAGCAGCAGCAGCGCACTCGTGACATCCCCCCCCCTCAGCAGCTCCGTGAGTGGTACGCTGCATGCCAGCGGGGTGGGGGTACTGGTCCGTGCACCTACGTCCTGCGCACCGGCGACCGTGCGGGTGAGCAGTGTGGGGGTGCGCACCCCACCCAGCGCTGCTTTGGCCGCCTGACGGACGCTTGGCGTCACCAGTTCCCTGAGGCCATTGAGATCCCTCGCTGGGGCGAGCTGTCTAGGGCAGGGGTAGCTATCTTTGACCTTGACTTTGATGCTATTCTTGCTGCTATGTGTGCTGTGACTATTAGTGAGGAGAATGACTGTTACCGGTGTTTTCCGCTCGACCCGGGCATTGAGACTGCTGCTCTAGGTGCTGGTGAGGCTGCTGCTCTTGGTACTAGCGAGGCTACTACTCTAGGTGCTAGTGCGGCTGCTTCCTCAGGTGCTGGTGAGTCTGCGCTCTCAGGTACTGCGTCGGCTTCGGCCTTCCACACCTTCACTCTAGACTCGGTGGCTTCTCGCTCCTTCTTTCGAGACCGCACCACACTCACGCCGCTTGGTCGGCCAGTTGCAGTCTCTCTCGCAGACCCCTCTGGGGGTCCTGTCCTTGCTCACTTCTCCACTGTCCTCCCGTGTCCGGCGGCCCCCTCTGGCACCCTGTCTGGTCTGTACCTCCCCTCGTTCTCTACAAACTTGGTGAGTGGTGCTGACCTACAGGATGCGGGGGTTCACCAGTTCACTCCTGCGAGTCAGCGGGTGACCCACTGCACGGACGCTCGGACAGGCCGACACCTGGCCACGTTTACACGTCGGCCGGGGTCGAGCCTGTACACACTGACCACTGCTTCTCCTCCAGTCACTGCGTCTGGTCAGGTAGCTGCGTCAGGTCAGGTGTTTGCTGCAGCGTCCAGGTCTGGTCCTGAGTCTGCCCCCTGCTCGTGTCGCCTCCTGTCTCACAAGACTCTCCTTTGGCACCACCGCCTTGGTCACCCCTCCCTGCTTTGTCTCTGAAGCATGGCCTCCCATGTCCTTGTCTCTGGTCTTCCCTGGTCCCTCCCTCCCCTTCCTCTGGGGCCTGGCCCTACCTGCGTCCCTTGTGTCGAGGGGCGGCAGCGGGCTGCCCCTCACTCCTCCCAGTTTCCTCCGACAGAGGCCCCGCTGCAGACGCTTCACATGGACGTGTGGGGCCCCGCCCGCGTCCGTGGACAGGGTCACGAGCGCTACTTCCTGCTGGTGGTTGACGACTACTCGCGTTACACCACAGTCTTCCCCTTGCGCAGCAAGGGTGATGTCACTGAGGTGTTGATCGACTGGATCCACGCAGCTCGTCTCCAGCTCAGGCGGAGCTTCGGCTCGAACTGTCCTGTTCTGCGTCTGCACTCTGACCGAGGCGGAGAGTTCTCCTCTAGCGTTCTGCGTGCCTACTGTCGCGCACGAGGCATCCGCCAAACCTTCACGCTTCTGGACTCTCCACAGCAAAATGGGATTGCTGAGCACCGCATTGGCATTGTCATGGACGTCGCCCGTACGTCCATGATGCATGCGGCTGCCCCCCATTTTCTGTGGCCGTTTGCGGTTCGGTACGCGGCGCATCAGATCAACCTTCAGCCCAGGGTCTCCATGCCGGAGACCTCCCCAGCTCTGCTGTGGACGGGGAAGGTTGGCGATGCGTCTGCGTTCCGTGTCTTGGGATCTCGGGCGTTTGTCCGCGACTTGTCTGCGGACAAGCTGTCCCCTCGTGCTGCTCCTTGCGTCTTCCTGGGTTTCCCCCCTGACGCGCCAGGGTGGCAGTTCTACCACCCCACCTCTCGCCGTGTTCTGTCCTCCCAGGACGTCACGTTCGACGAGTCCGTCCCCTACTACCGTCTCTTCCCCTACCGCACTCCGTCCCTCCCCCCGCCACCGCTCTTCCTTGTGCCAGGTCCCCCCCCGGTAGACCCCCTCCCCCCTCAGGGTCCTGCCCCTTCAGGTGAGTCCCAGATAGACGCTATTGAGCCTGTCGAGGTCGCTGGTGACTCTGGTGCTGCTGAGGGTGCTGAGCCTGGGGATGCTGACTCCGGGGGTGCTGAGCGTGTGGGTGCTACGCCTGGGGGTGGTGAGCCTGAGGGTACTGCGACTGGGGGTGCTGAGCCTGGGGGTGCTGAGTCTGGGGGTGCTGAGCCTGGGGGTGCTACGCCTGGGAATGCTGAGCCTGGGGTTGCTGAGCGTGGGGGTTCTACGCATGGAGGTGCTGAGCCTGGGGGTGCGGAGCCTGAGGGAGCTGGGCTTGCTCGTGTGGCGTTTGGCGGTGCTGTGCCTGGCGGTTCTCCGGGTGCTTCGTCTCGCCGGGAGCCACTCTCTCCACAGGAGCTATGAGAGTGGTTTGCCCGGCGCTGGAGGCGAGCTGCTGGAGCTGGAGGTGCTGCAGGTACTGGAGGTTCTACTGCTGCTGAGGGTGCTGGTGCCGCGGGTCCTGGAGGTGCTCGTACTGGTAGTACTAGAGCTGCTGGGCCTACGGGTACTTCTGGAGCTAGAGCTGCTGCGGGTGTTGGCGCGGAGGCTACTACTGTCGGTCCTGGAGGCGGTCCTGCTGGGGGTGCTACGGGTGCTTCTAGAGGTACTGGAGCTGGAGGTGCTGCTGGTGCTGGTGCTGCTGCTGGGGGTACTGGTGCTGTCCCTGGCATGTCTGAAGTCGCCGCGCGGCCTCGGCCATACTTCGTCCCGCTCCTTCAGCAGGTTCTTGGTCTCCCGCCTTCTACTGGTCCTCCTCCTCCCTTAGAATGTCCACAGCCTGTCCCGTCACAGTTACAGTTACAGCCGGCCTCCCCACTGCCTGCTCCGTCTCCCTACACTGGTCCTACTGGAGGTCTTGCTTAGCGTCGTGAGCCTGCGTCTCGCCCTGCGTCGCCTGTCCGTGCTGCTCGCGCTAGTGGTCGCGGTTCGCGTCAGCGTCCTCCTCCTGTCCCTGGCACGCACCGGATGTCTCTGCGTCCGTCCACTGCTCCTCTGCGTGCCCCTTTACCTTCTCCTCCTGAGTCTTCTTCTCCTGCTCTTGCCGACCCAGAGTCGGACTCTCTTCGTGCTGCCAGTCCTACTAACACGCGTCTCCTTGCTACTGTTGTCACTGACCCTTCCTTTGAGTCCACTGCTGCGTTTGCCCTAGTTGCTGAGCTCGTCAACTTTGCTGCTCGCTGTCGCCTAGACTACGCTGCCAGTCTTGTTGCTGAGTCTGAGTCTGTCTGTCCTCCGTCCGTCGGGGGTGAGTGTGCCCTTGGCACGGACGTCCTTGAGGACAGGCACGAGGAGTTCCAGTGTTTGGCAGCTGCTTCACCTCATCTCGTGTCCGTACTGCTTACCCCTGAGGGAGACCCGAATGCACTTGACATCCCGACTCCGCGCTCTTACGCGGAGGCGATAGAGGGTCCCTACTCCTCTCAGTGGCAGGCAGCTATGGACGCAGAGATGGCTTCCTGGAAGTCCACAGGCACCAAGTTGACGTTGTTCCCCCTCCTGGGGCGAACATCGTCAGTGGCATGTGGATTTTCAGGGTGAAGCGGCCGCCGGGTTCTCCGCCTGTCTTCAAGGCGCGTTACGTGGCTCGTGGCTTCAGTCAGCGGCAGGGAGTTGACTACTTTCAGACCTTCTCTCCCACCCCGAAGATGACCACTCTTCGGGTACTGCTGCACGTAGCTGCTCACCGTGACTACGAGTTACACTCTCTTGACTTCAGCACTGCTTTCCTGCAGGGCAGTCTGCACGAGGAGATATGGCTGCGCCGCCCACCTGGCTTCACTGGGACTTTTCCTCCTGGCACCCAGTGGAGCCTCCGGCGGCCAGTCTACGGTCTCCGCCAGGCACCGCGTGAGTGGCACGACACACTGAGGACTACACTTGCGGCTCTTGGGTTTGCTCCCTCTACTGCCGACCCGTCGCTATTTCTGCGCACCGACACTTCTCTGCCGCCGTTCTACATCCTCGTGTACGTCGACGACTTGGTCTTTGCCAGAGCTGGACTCGCCCACATGAAGTCCGAGCTGCAGAAGAGACACACGTGCACTGACCTGGGTGAACTGCGCAGCTACCTTGGCTTGCAGATCACACGGGACCGAGCACGCCGCACCATTACCCTGACTCAGTCACACATGGTGCAGCAGGTCATTCAGCGCTTCGGCTTCACGTACTCCTCGCCTCAGGCCACTCCTCTGCCTACTCGCCACTCGCTCTAAGCTCTGCCTTCGAATGAGTCCGTAGAGTCGAGTGGCCCGTATCCAGAGCTTGTTGGCTGCCTCATGTACTTGATGACCTGCACACGACCTGACCTTGCATACCCTCTTAGCATTCTTGCACGCTATGTTGCTCCTGGGAGACACAGACCAGATCACATGGCTGCAGCGAAGAGGGTGTTGCGCTACTTGTGCAGTACGTCGGGCATGGGGCTTGTGCTTGGAGGGCAGAGTCCAGTGGTCCTCACTGGGCACGCAGACGCTTCTTGGGTTGACGACAAGGCTACGCAGCGGTCGTCACAGGGTTACACATTCAGCCTTGGTTCCGGCTCTGTTTCGTGGGGGGCTACTCACTCGTCTTCTGTTCTCGGCTCCAGTTGTGAGGCTGAGATCTACGCAGGAGCCATGGCTGCTCAGGAGCTTCGCTGGCTCACCTACCTGCTGACTGACCTCGGAGAGCCGCCTCGTTCTCCTCCAGTGCTGTACGTAGACAACAAGGCCATGCTGGCCTTGTGTCGGGAGCAGCGACTGGAGCACAGAACGAAGCACATTGCTCTCCGCTACTTTCTTGCTCGTGAGCTGCAGCAGCGTGGTCAGCTGCGTCTTGCGTACGTGGCCTCTGAGGCCAACACTGCTGATATCTTCACCAAGGCGCTTGCGCCTTGTGATCATCAGCGCTTTTGCACTCAGCTGGGTCTTGTGCCTACCTTGCCTCACTTGCTCACCTCTTGACCTTGTTTGTACTGTTACATATATATATACACCTGCTCTTGCTTATCTAGCCTTTTATATATGTATATGTACTCCTGCATGTGAACTAGCCTTGTGGCCTTGAACTTGTGCTCGGAATGTGAGGTGACTTTGTGATCCACCCTGAGCTTGCTCTGCTTTGCTTGACTGGTCTTGTGACCCCTTGTTCTCCCCCACTTTGCCTATGGGGGTGTGTCGGATTTATATGACATAGCTGCTGTAGGCTATAGTGGGGTAGCACATATGGGGTACAGCTTTTCTAGGGTTTGTACTTGTACCCAACTTCCCCTTAGTCATT